TTATTTGTTATATTTTTATTATTCATTATTTTCACTTGACTCGCATAAATAATTTTGTTCGAAGAACATTTTATGCAGTTGTACTTCGCAGCACTTCACTTGCAATTTGCAATTTCTAGTTTCAGTGGGGTATTTCTGGTGGTGATTGGACAGTACACTGGGAAACAATCGACTACTCTTTTCCTGAAGAATTTACTGTGTTCTTTAACTTGTACATAGGCCATAATGCACATGGGACCAGCGGTCTAAATGACACATCCAAAAGACAGTGTGCTATCGTAACTTGCATTTCAGCCCTCCAGCTGAAATACAAGGAGAGCAGCGATGGGAATTGAACGGGAGACAAGAGATCTCCATGGTTCAGCGCACACACAGTGGCTACCACCTGTTTAGCCGACTGAGCTAAGCTGCTGTGTTTGTGGTGTTAAAGATGATGTTGGTGGTGTTGTAATTAATGTTAAGGTAGTGATGATAATATAGGAATTTATACCATACCAATTGCCAAGTGGAAGTAGTGTTATAGTGATAATAATAATAATAATAATAATAATAATAATAATAATAATAATAATAATAATAATAATAATAATAATGGTGGCGGTGTTGATGGTAATGTTGTTAATGGTGTTGAGGATGATGATTATGGAAACAAGGATGATGATTATGGAAACGATGATGATGATAATTGTATTAGTGATTATTAGATAATTGTATTGGTAATTGTTTAATGAGGGTGTATCCTAAATGGTAAATGTTTAATTTGATTTCTTATTTCAGCTTGGTAAATTGTATTATGATAGGGAAGAATTCACAAAATTATCCAAGATTCTCAAACAATTACATCAATCATGTAAAGTGAGTATTATTAACATTATTATTATTATTACTCTTTGCTATTATTGTTATTGTTTCTTAATATTAATATTATTGTTATTATGATATGTCATCATTTTGTTTCCGATATAGATACTCAAAATACAACACAAGTTGATGGAAAAACATCAGTTAGAGTGATAAATGACATTACATTGGAGATTTGAAACAAACCTCTTTTAACAACCAAGCTACTGTACAGCTCCATTCTTTATAATTCTGGTGCATTATGTAACTACAGAAAAAATAAATTGAGGGTTGCCATGCCAAAACCACCTTAAGTGAACAAAACAAGAAAATTGACATTTTTAAAAATATATTCATATTCGCCACATTATAAAATTTGAAGTGATATATCATTGACTGTAATCGATTTACTATTGCCAAAGTGATGAGTAAAAGTATTACAGCTTCTCTGTACTAAAGTATGTAATACTGGCACATTTTTAAGCTAATTACTCAGTTTAGCCTAATTAGTCAGTTAATTTTAGAGACAGTACACTGGTTTTGGAAAGGCAAGTCTCAATTAACATCTTGACAAGATTTGATTGACAGATAAGCCGACTAATCAGTGAGCGTCATTTATTCATGTGATCAAAAACTTTTTCTCGGACATTTTAATTTCCTTAGACAGCAGGTTGTCAACGTGAAACATACGTGAGCCTAGACCTAATGGTCTATATTTGGTTATAGATACCCAGATTTACACGAGTAGTGCGCATCAGTGACTTGACCTTTGCCGACAACCAGGTTGACTGAATGCGGCTTTTCTCTCTTCCTTTGGGAGCGAAATACAGAGGCTTTTACAACAATTTCCCCGCCTGTTCCATGAAATAGATTCACTATGAATATATGATTCATTTGCATACTGCCTACCCTGAATTCTCTTTCTTAAAGAAGGTTAATAGCAAAGAAATGTTCGTCAGCTCAATAAGTCTAGCCGCCATTGTCTAAGGTTTTCGTGACTTTGTGGGCGGGGCTTCGCTTCCTTGTCGACATGTCAATTGTTAACAACAATATCTGTCAAATGTACCATATATCTTTCACTATGGATGAAATGAAAAATTGATAGCTTCCATGTTTCTTTTTTTTTTTTTCTCTGCAGACAGATGATGGTTCAGACGATTTAAAGAAAGGCACACAATTGTTAGAAATCTACGCTTTAGAGATTCAAATGTACACGGCCCAGAAGAATAACAAGAAACTAAAAGCATTGTATGAACAGTCACTTCAAATCAAGTCAGCCATTCCACATCCACTGATCATGGGCGTTATAAGAGGTAATGAAACGGCAAAGACTATGCAAGAAGTTTACTTATTTACCATTTTTATATTTAAAAAAATTAAAAAGCCTGTGGTGTTGAGCCCAAAAGCATTAAGTCTATCTAAAAAAGTAAAATAAAGAAGACTTGCACAGTTTATAAAAACTTTCAAAATTTGAGGAATGCTCTCCAAACGAGGATAAGAGAAAGAAATGTTCAACTAAAGCTGTTGTATGCCCATTTATAGTCATGATGTGCCTATATTTGGTGATGATGTGATGTCATTATGACCATATTTAGTCATTTCACATACGATTTGATGGTCTGGAAAGGGCTTTATAGTGCAAACCTTTTTTTTTTTTAATTGAAAGCACTGCTAATAGTCTTGTTTATTTAGCTGAGCACCATAGAAGAACATCTATTAACAGACAGGAAATGTTGTCGTTAGAAGATATTCCTAACATCTATATGCATTTGCCTGCGATTTACTTTAATATCAATGTTCTTTATCCGTTTTCAGAGTGTGGCGGTAAAATGCACTTACGAGAATGCGAGTACGAGAAGGCTCACACAGATTTCTTTGAATCCTTTAAAAATTATGACGAATCCGGTAGCCCAAGGCGAACGACGTGTTTAAAGTATCTTGTACTAGCGAACATGCTAATGAAGTCAGATATAAATCCATTTGAATCTCAGGAAGTAAGTAACTGATTATGAAAGTATCTTCCATAGCCTAATTATAGAGCACCCTCTATGGTTAACATTTTATTAGTGCATACTGTAGTTGTTTTGCATTATATACATATTCATTATCAGTGAGGGGGTTGGGGAAGGAGTGAGTCTTAAGCAATTTTTGATGTGCAGACTAGACTTGCTAAGGTCTGGTTGCCTAACACTTTTTCTCTTTCTTCCAGGCTAAACCTTACAAAAACGACCCAGAAATTCTTGCAATGACGAACCTTGTAAGTTCGTACCAAAATAATGACATCAGTGAATTTGAGAAGATACTGAAAACTAACAGACAAACCATAATGGATGACCCTTTCATCAGAGAACATATTGAAGGTATAATGGCTGAAGCCCTGTCTACACTACAAAATTTATTTGACAAAAACATGTGACATACCTAAGTTATGGTCATGATGACCTCACATTATAACTATATATGGGCATACAACAGTTTTTTGTCAGAAAATTTTATAGTGTGGACAGAGCTTCACACTGTCAGATATTTTGTCTGTCAGACTTTGCAGTGTTTGTTCAGAATTTGTGTAGGCTTAGTCTCTGTAAACAATGAGACTTTACTGGTGACCTAACTGACCTTTTGTCACTGTGCATCACAATTTTTTTTAGTTTGTAGAAATAAAATGTAGCAGGGAGCACCATATTTGCCTGAAAATTGAAAAAAACCTGTTGTCAAATAGAGGTTAAAGAGATCAAGAAATGTTGCTAAATTAGCAGTGTCATGTCTGTGGCTGTGGGAAATGCCCCCTTTGTTAAGAGTCTTTTTTTCTGAGTTTCCCTTGCTTACTACAGACAATTAACAGCACATACTGTCATCAATCAATGCCTCGTGAACCCTCACCCTTCCTGTCTTTTTGTCGTATTATATTTGACCTCAACATATTTTTTCCCCTTGTTCCCCCATTTTAAAATCTCTGATGCTGCCACTATAAATTAGTGCATAAATTGAGATAGTAAAATTGCACTAAAGGTCAAATGATGACATTCTTTTTATTAGTTTATAGAGCATCACATGTGTAATGTTTCCTTTGTGTATTCATTTCTTTCAGATTTACTGCGAAATATCCGAACACAGGTGTTGATGCAGTTGATCAGGCCCTATACTCGCATTCATATTCCTTTTATTTCAAGGGTGAGTTATGAGTGGAAAAGGCAATACGGTTTCAAAGATGTGGTGATAATGATTGGGTGGTAGAGATGACAATTACAACAAAGATGATGATTGTGTCAATGATTATGATGATGACATTGGAGATAGTGAGAATTTGGATGATGACAATTAAGAAGACAACAAAGATTAGAATGTTAATAGCGATGATGATAATGGTGTGTGATGAAGATGAAAGTAGTGACTATGACAATGATAAAGATAGTATACAAATAGTGAATGTTTATGAGTACAATGGGAAGAATATTTTCATGAGTTGAAAGATTGACTGTTCCATTTGATGAGGTGAAGCCTCCACAGGGCAGAGCCTCCTAGTTGAATGGAACAGTCAATCTTTCAGCGAATGAAAATATTCTTTCCCTTGTACAAATAAAAAACATTCATTATTTGTTTTATAACACACCTGAAGTAGATTCTTGTCATTTGATATTTTATGAAAAAATCTACCCTTTTTCCAAATGGAACAGTCCAGCATTTTTTTATCCAATAAACAGATTGTATTATTAGGTTGAAGTCATGTATCGTATACTAGGTGGCGTGCAGTATGCAACAACAAATGGAAAGAAAATGCACGGATGGAAATAAATTTTAATGAGTGACGAAATTGGGGTAAATAACCAATGTCACGTGATACAAAATCCACCAATCAAATGACAGGGATCTATTTAGGTATGTTATAATGATGAATGAAGATGATGATGAGAATGGTGATAATGATTATGATGGTGATGGAAACAATGATGTTGGAAAGGACGATTGCAATGGGGGTGGTAAATAGTGCATATAATGAACAAGATGTTGGTCCTTATTAAAAGTGTGTACTGTATTGAGTAACTAATTTCTTCTTTTGCTTCATCCTGTAGGAGCTGAATGTAGATGCAACAGAGGTTGAGAGTTTACTAGTACAATGTATTTTAGACAAGTACGTATTTTCAGTAAACAGTATTATACTAGTAGTTCTGAGAAAAAAAAATGTCCCTATTTTTTCTATTTGATATCTAATTTTTTAATGAAATATTGTCATCTATTATCATCATATACATTTTCTATGTACTGTGTTTAGAGTGAAGCTCTAGCTTGGTGGTTAAGGTGTTTTTAGTTGTAGGATGGTGGGTTCAAATCCTGCAAAACTTGATTTGTCAGGGGTCCCAAGTCCCCCACGTGTTGCAGGAGTCTCCTGGAAATCGGGATAATCTCCCGCACTCCCAACAAGCAAGCAAGAATCGCCTGGAAAATAACCCACCTCCTGCAAATTCATAATATGTGCATGTGTTTTTTACTACTTTATTATAAATTGACTCACAGAAAACAGTGCCAATGGGTACCACCATCCCAGAACTTATGACCCCTGCAAAATAAAAAATCCAAACCACTAAGCCAAATGAGACTTAAAAGGCATTATTGTACTTTCATCATGTAAGATGGAAAAGACATTAGATGTTGTAGAGAAGGGAATAAATGTGTTTTGGTTACCTTTGATTTAAAAAAAATTTTTTTTTTCTTTTAGCACAATTCATGGAAGGATAGATCAAGTAAATCAGTTATTAGAGCTAGATCAGAAATCACAAGATATGGCCCGATTCCAAGCCATTGATCGATTGGCCACGCAGCTCACATCTTTACAGATGGCAGTAGGAAACAAGATGGCTTGAAGAAAAACATCTCCAGGCATCACGCCACACTGTTGCTACTCTTCCTAAACAACTCGTCTATATGGACATATTTTGAATATTGTTTTTTCTTCTTGGCTTGTTGATTTCCGAGGAACATGAAAGTGATTAAATTGGTGTAGCATCTTGCTATACCATTCATAGCTTCTCTTTTGGAGGACGAGGGGTACTAGCGATTAACAAGACTTTATCTCTAGATTTGTTGATGTGATGTTTCTCCTGGGAATCAACCTGATAGACATTGCTAACCTAGGATTCATTGCTAATATAGAGGAGTGTTGTGTTTGTTATAGTCTATATTTTGGTGATGAAAGGGGAAAAAATAGGACTGGCAATAACCACATCTGATTGGTGAAGTTTAGGGTTCTTGATGTAGATGAATTATTCCAAAATACTAACTTCAGATTTATGGTAAGAATGCTTTTCAGCACATTTTCATTTTAGAATACATTTCAAAAATGTTTCTACTTGTTAATCATAAAAACACTTACGAATGTTACTACCAACTAGCTATTTAAAAACAATATTCCGCTGCTCTTAAAAATTATTGTGGCATAAATATCTGTCTGCTGCCCTCTATAGTTTATTTGAATATAATCACAAGATTATTAAATTCATTGTCAAATTTTTTAATTCTTTCAAAAGATATTTGTTATAATGAACGAGGGTTAACTAGCAATATATGTAAGGGGTTTGGTCTTAAGGAATTGTAAAGCTTTAAGAAGCATCACATTTTGTTAAGCTATTAATAAAACTGAAATACAGACAAGTTCATTCAATCGGTTTCTTTCTTTCTGTTTGGTATTTCTTGGGAGGTTTTCATGGCGAGTATCAAAAAAAAAAATAAGTAGTATACCATGTGTAAAAATATAGTTTTTGAGGTAAAACCACTGGTTGGTTCTCTCGACATAAAAGATGACTTCTGTTGGTCTATTTTAGAGATTGTATTACCTCAAAAACTAAATTTTTACACATCGTTTACCGAAAGCTTAATGATTTTGTATCGCTCTGGTGTTCCTGCTTTGTGCGAACGATTACCAGTGGTAGGAAACACTGCTACCAACAGTATTGGTTTAGGTATAATAATAATTTTCCACTGCATTTTACATAGTGTATATTGGGGTTTTTTATTTCAATAATTTAATTTCAACTCAACAAGGAGACATGCATTACAGGGTGGAAGTGCTGTAATGTTATGCATACATAAAAAGCCTTAAAAAAAACCCTATTTGGTACCGAGCTATATGATGCGTTTTAATTAATGTTTTGGGGGCGTTTCCCCGATTTTAAACTAACGGGGAAATTTAATTGCCAATCCTTAATATTGTGGTCTAAAAGCACAATTTGGATCATAAGCCGTGTGAATACTACCAGGGATTTTATATATATATGCTGGTGAAAAATGTATGTCAGAAAAAAAAACTTTGCTTTAATTAATGTTTCAAGGGGGTTTTTTTTCAGGGG